GCAAGCTGTCTCCCACTCCCAGGCAGGCCTGCAAAGTAATTAGACTGCAGAATCATGCTCAGGTTTTGGAGCAATTACTATGTAATTCTCCATGCCAAAGAGTAACTCTTAATGCCTTTACTGAACAGCTTCAGCGAGAGAAAATGGAAATATTTGTGCTCACATTTCCTCATCCTAGAACTTCATGGGAAAAGCAGAGGGAGGTAAATGAAGGGATTCAAACTTTCTTAGGTGGGAATTAAAGCCATGCTTCCTGGATGAAAAGGGACTGCCTCTTAAGCTTTCAAAGGGGCAAAAGCACCTCACGGCAGGGAAGAGGTCAGAATGCTGGCTTCCAAGGGATATACTTCTGTCCAACCAAGTACAAGGAATCCAAGTCTCTGAGACAGGCACAAATGCTTTGTATTTCCTATTTGTGATGTATAGCTGGGGATTACATCACCACTGGTATAAAATCTGTGCCCTACTAGCACACCAGGCAGTATATGTCACATACATTTCTGCCAAGCTGACTGGGATGCACTCTATAACGTTTATTCCAGCTACCGGAAACAAACAGCCTTTCTGAGCTGAGTGTAACAAAAACAACAACTCAACAACAGCAACTTACTGGCTTAGCCTTTTGCATCTTGTGGCTGTAGTGTATTTTTTCAGGCAGTGAGAATCATAAAACCAGACTTAGGGTACCAGCCTCTACCTGCCAGCTGAGCAAATTACAGACTTTGGCACTTGACTTTCTCCCCATAGCCTGAGCCCTACAGAGAGCCTAGGCACTTGATGTGGAGGCTGTTACTTCCACAACCCCAAGTGCTTGTTTGATTTAACCCTAAATCAGTTTCAATTCACAACAACTAAATGCCAGGAATCCAAATCTCTGAGTCAAGCTCAAATGCTTCCTATTTCCTGTTTTAGACAGACTTCTGTTTAGCTGGGTCCATCAGTTTCATTTCACATTCTGTGACACTTTTCAGCATAAATTTACATTATTCTACTCTATGTAACTCCTGTCCCCTCCAAATCTAGCTGGAATTCATAAAAGCCAGGCTGGCTGTAGCCACATGACACAAAGTAATCATCATTAAAGCACACGTGGTCTTTCTATGAAACATGATGAGACATCACCTACCAGTGCCACTCTAAAAGATACCTGCTCATCAGGCATTTTTTGCTTAGATCACTCATCCCAGAAGAACTGGGAGAGAATCAGGAAACTGGAAGCAAGCACAAGCTGCAGAGAAGGATTGTGTGAGGCTGTTGAAGCAAATGTCGATGGAACTGAAGTTTAACTTCATGCTCAATCAGGTTATCACCTGCTTGTCATCACTGCAACATGTCTGGCCACACCAAGGTTTGCAAGAAGCTAAACCATCAGGAAACTGCCCTTCCCTGCTCAAAAAGATGGGGGGTGGGGAAGGATTGTGGGGGGAGGAGAATGGAGGAAGGGTATTGGGGAAGAGAGAAAGAATATTTTTCTGCTGGTTTAACTCTCCAAAATGGCTTATCAGGAGGTCAGAAGGAAAGCCAGGGCACACACAACGGGGGGAGTGGAACTGTAGGGCCAGAGCACGGGAATGAAGGGAGTAAAGAACTACTGCTGCATTGCCTTACCCTGTGCAAAGGTGTGACTACAGTGGAGCAGTATTTGTCCTTAGAACTGAAGGTTGTAAAGTGTTTACAACTCTCCACTATCTCTATTTTTTTTGTCCACACCCTGCTTAATGCAATGGAGCCCTGATACCCTTTTTTTGCTGCTGAAATGGTGTTCTTTAAAGAAGAATCAGCATATAGCACGAACCAGTCTTTTAGTGATATACTCACACCTTCCCTGCTGTTAGTTATTTCGACTTGCTGTGATTGCCCTTAAGGGAGGGGCTTGGGATTTCATAGAGCGTTTTTGCTTTTGTATCATCTAAGAAGTCTTTGATTGGGTTGGGCTGGGTTGGGTTTGTTGTTGGTTTTCTTATTCTTGATTTTACTTTGGGGTTTTTTTTTCTTCCCAGAAGTAACCAGCCTCATTACTTGATGTCAGTTATCCAGTTGGTTGACAGATATTTTTTTATTATCTGTGATAGAGACCAGCTGTATGATACTTTTAAAATATATAAGCTCTGTTTAGCTTTCAGTTTCCCAGCACACTGGACATTCAAACAGTCTGGATCCTATTTAACAAACATTGTTGAATGTATGCAGTTAATAAAAGCTTGGCAAATATTAGTAAAGGACTTGTAATGGTTGTGAGTGACATAAAGGTTAAAAGCTTTTTATAGCATTTCACCAAACTGGAGTAAAGCTTGAAGAAACTGAAGTGATGTGTCGGTAGGAAATCTCAGCACAGATTCAGACAGCATTAAATATTCATTTTTTAAAAAACTGGAGAAGATGCAACAATTCTGCATATCTGAATTTAGTTTTGAAACTTTTAACTTTATTTACCTCATATTATCCTGTTCCCCTGTTACCAGAACTGTCCCAGTTTGAAAGTTCCTGTGAAAAAAAGATGGTTTTTGTCCTATGCTTGTCTTACACTGTTTCTATATAAGGACCAGGACAAGAGAAGAAAGGACTTGTGATAGATGAGCATTTAGGGAATATTATCTCTCAGAGTAAAATTTGCTTATCAATTTTTAGTTTGCTTGCTGCTGTCTCTGCACATAGGAAAGATCTCTGTGCACCCCAGGACCCAAGGAACTTTCCCAGCATCTCCTCAGAGCTCAAGTCACCCGGGGGAGAGTCACAATGTGAACACTAGAAAGCACACAGTTTCTGTAAGGAATTCTGTAAACACTGGATTCCAGCTCCCAAAACCGCTTGTAGATTCACTTTCTTTAAAGGCTTGTCTGGACGAGGATAAAGGTGCATTAAGAAAAGAAAAAAGGTGTCAGTGAAAACTCTTAATTAACGTGTTTTCAGATTCTCAGTGTTGACAGGGTGTGTTGCATTTTAGTGCATTTGCCAGCAAACAAGTTAAAATACATTTGTGTCCCAGCTACGTGTGGCAAGTTAGGACATGTTTTTAAAAGTTTCAGATTTTAACAGGAGTTAAAACATGTTCATGATTGTGCTTTTACCTTAGCAGAGTGTGAGTGCCACTGATGGGTTTTTCTGGGACTCCAGCGAGAAGCTGCCATACCGGCAGGGAGCTGTTATTGAGCAGCTTTCTCCTTGTCCTTTCAACTGTCCAATGAAAATACCATTTCATTCACCTGTATTTCAGGAATGGATAAAATTAATGTTTTAGGCAGTATTGGGAGAAGAAAAAAAATGTTTGGTACAAGTGAGTTGGGAGATTTGGCAGTAGCTTCAGGAGTCAGAAGCCACACCTTCATAGGGTGGTAAATTGCAGCTTCAGTACCTGATGTAAGGGCAGGATTTCCATAGCCACATAACACAGAGTGTGGCACCACATTCAGCTTTTGTTCTAGTTGTGGACAAATACTTTTCAGGAGCATCTTTGCCTCAGCTGCTCTTGGGCCAAAAGCTATCAGCTTTTTTTCCTAGCCTTCCCACAGAATGTTAGTGCAAAGTTGACATAAGCACTACACACCATGCTTGTACCTGGCTAGCTTGACAGGAAGGTTTGTGTTTATGCCCGGAGTTGTGGCTGCAAGGCACAGATTTATTATTAATGATCATGAAGTCACAGCCAAGAGTCAGTAATACAGTCAGCTGCGAGGTTGATTTGCTGGGCAGCCCTGTACAAAGCATTTTATCATTCTACAACTCTTCCACTTTTCCAAAAGGTTGAGGATGAAAATACCTGAGGAAAAATGTGCTGATAGGAGTCACCTTTTGGAAGTACTGCAAAAAGACAACTTCATCTAGAGGGTGCAACTCACTACTAGAAACAACAGACCTTTGGAGGAGCAAGGGGAGGCAAACCCTGCTGCCCCTGCCCCCCCACCCCCACTGAGAACAGCTCCCCAGCCTTGCCTCTTCTTCATTTTGGGGCTCCACAGAGCTGTCTCTCAGTTACGGTTGTCATGTTCTTAGAAATATCACTACACATGATACAGGGGGAAATACAGATTTTTGGTAACACAGCTGTTGTGGTAAAAGCCTTAACACAAATTCCAACTAAGAATATTCAATTCTGTGCAAATACACTTGACAACAGTACCATTTTTTTCAGACACTAAATCTCCAACACCTTATACACAAGCAACTTTACACTGGTACATCCTTGCTCTTGGCACAGAAATTCTGACAACTTTTTATGTGGAAGGCACAGCAGAAAAGTGCTATTCTCATCTTTGTCCTGTTGCAAAAAACTAAGGAGGTCTTTTTGTCTGTCTGTCTTTTTGTCTCTCTCTTTTCCCTCTCCCTGCCTCTTGGAAGGAGATTAAAAGACCAGGAACTTGAGTAAAGTACAAGTTTAAGAAAGAGAAATCTCCCTCCAGCGTATCTCTTTGCTTGGTGCATAAAGGTGTGGTGCGACAAGGAGCAGCTTGGTAGCTGATGGGCTCAAGAGGTCATTCGAGGGGTTAAATCTTGTATTTGCACCCTGCGGTCAAGGGTTTGGGTTAGAGATAGCTGTCCAGGTTTTAATTGCACTGACACTGACAGAGGGACCATACATATATCCCAGATTTCCTGCTTGTCCAGAGGTTCTAGAGAAAAACTTGTGGAACTAAGTACCTAGAGTAAGATCAGTCAAGCCTTAGTCTTTTTTACTTTCTCTTTTTTTTTTTTTTTTTCAAGTTGTAAAACATTGAAATGGTTGAAAAACATATCAAAAGCATAAAGCAAAACACACCGTCTAAACTCCAAGTCACCATGTGAAATTTTCCGGTGAGGCTACTCTGAAATTCAGACGTAGCTACGGTGGAAAGTAGAAATGCATACGTCCGTGTCGGTGAAATTGCATATGCCCGCTCAGGATGGACAGGTGCCTTTTGATACTGACTGCGAGGTCCTGTCATGGTCTTCCACCAGGTCTTCTTAGGTGATCTGTTACATAAACCAGTCTAAAAAGATAAAAACCCAAACCACCACAAACAAAATCACGATTTCCTTAATATCCAGATTAAAAGGAGCAGGCAAAACACAACGCGTGCAGTTGAGAAGCGGGGGAGGATCCCGAAGAAGGAAGCAGTCCGGCTGGCCGTGCCCCACGGTTGCGGTGCCATCACGCCATAAGGTGAGCCCTCCGTAGCTCGCTCCATCCCTTCTGCCGCCGGTGCCCGCTGCCGCACACCACTCCACCAGCACGCCCGGGAGAGGCGGCAGCCGGCAGATCCCCGGAGAGCGGCTCCCGCCGCCGCGGCCCCCGGGAGCTGCCGCCGCGGCGCCCCCGGCCACGACCCCGGCCCCACCCGGCCCCGCCGAGCCCAGCCCAGCCCCGCAGCAGCGGGGCCGGCGGCCGCAGGTGACGCCGGGGCGGGCAGAGCCGCTCCCGATCCCACCATGGAGGCCCCGCCGCCCCCCGCCGTCGCCAGGGAAACCGCCCGGCGGCGCGGCCCCGCCGAGGGAGCCTCGGGGCGCGGCGGCGGCACCCCGGCACCCCC